AAATGTAGACCAAGGACTTTTTTATTTCTGTTTTTCGGGGGCTTTTTTGTGCCTTTAATGGAGACAGGACAGTGGATAGAGTCAGAAATCAGGGAGAGAGAGAGAGTGGGAAAGGAGCCACAGGCGGTACGAACCTGGGCCGCCGTCGTGGAGGACCACAGCCTCCATACACGGGAAAGCGCACTTAACACTTTCGCCACCAGCGCTCCCGATTTCTGTTTTTAAGAGTCATTTTTTTCTTCTATATTTGACCTGATTAAACTTCAGAGGGTTTCCTTGGTTTGAGTGTTTTCTCACATTTTTCTGAAGGTCATCAACACTTCCTCCATCTGCTGACAGTCTGAGTCCTCCTTTGACACTTAGCTCTTTGTTGTCCTCTACGACAGACCTGGTTCCCGCACTGCTCTTTACTGTTAATCCTTTTGTTCATCTTGTCCCCACTTTTTGATAGGATACGATGCAAAAGGCAAAATGGATGAACTGGTTCCACTGAATTCCCATTTTACCCACACCAGAGTCCTGTAGCACACAAACTAGGAAATGTGTCGTCATGATGAGTTTTCACATAATGTGAAGAACATGCAACAGGATATTATAGTCCTGTTGTGTCTCTGTTTGCTTGTAACCTTCATTTCCTGTGCTGTGTGAGTTTCGACATTGTGTGATGTTTTCCAGCAGTGTTTTGCACATGTTTGGAGGGGTGGTGTGGGGGGTTGGGGGGTGGTAACAAACTGATTCCCAGAAAACAGATGTGTTCGAGTATCGGCCCAAAATAACACGAGAAAATTAGGTCCATCACCCTGCTGGAATTTAGAGCCTTCAAACAAAAGCAGAACGTTAAGAATATCTGATACTATGAAGAAGTAGTCCAAAAGCTTCCAGCCAATCATCCACCATGTTTTGCTTTTCCTTAAGTTTTGTTGACTGTGAGAGATTGTGAGAGTTACAGTTTTTGGGATTTGGGACTTTGGGATGTTTGTGAATAAAATCTGTTAGTGTGTGTGTTGAGCTGTTTTTGTTGTTGCTCCACTCACAATGGGAGTTTTGCAATTGGCCCTATTTGTCGTCACATGTGGAGTGTCAAACATTTTCAACATCAATGTTGGTTTTCAAAGACAAAACGCATCGCCACGCTTCGCAGAGCAACAAGAGGGAGTGCTGTTAGATGGGGCCCCCTTAGGGAGGTATCCTACTGTCATTGCAAAATTTGCACATTTTTAAGTTGAATGCTGTGGTTTAAAGTTTGTCAGCCCTTTGGGGCCCCCTACTGGCCCCGGGGGCCCCACAGTTGCCTGTCTTGCCTATTGCCAAACAACGCCTCTGGTCTTTGACGCTATTAAGATTTTATTGTTCATGATATTCACATCGAGATGGCGCTGAGGACGGTCGCCCTGGTGTGTTGGTGCGCGTTGTTTTGTCTGTTTTTGTGCGTTTTATGTAAATTCTATTTTATATATTGTAATATCTTCTTATTCTGTATTATTTAAGTTGTTGTTAGTTCTGCTTTATTTCCTTGTTAATTGTTTAGCACCAATACACCAAGTCAAATTCCTTGTATGTGTATGTACTTGGCAATAAACCCAGATTCTGATTCTGATTCTGATATTATTATATTCTACTAATGTCAACACTGGCTCTTTTTGCAGCAGAGCACAACTTTCAGAGGTGTTTTGACATTAAGTTATTTAAATTTTAGACTTTAGATTTTATCGTCCCCATGGGGAAATTCTTTTTTACAAACTTGTTTTTATCCAATAGACAATTCCCATCGAGGAACAGTACATACATAAAACCAGAGTGTGTAAAACAAACAGTGTCAAACAGCAATCAAATCATAATAATATTAAAGTTTTGAAATTACAAGATGTTTACTGATGTTTATATTTATGTTTTGAATAGAATATTTATGTGAAATTTGGAAATTAAACAAAAAAAAAAATGTTTTGGTATCGTATTTGATGAACGCTGGATGGAGGGGCCCGGGGGCGCTGCTTGTCAACAGGCAAGGCAGGCAACTGCTCGGCCCCGGACCAGTAGGCGTCCCGGAGTGCTCACCTTAAACCAAAGCAGCGGCCTAAAAGATGCAATTTTTGCAACGACAGGAAACCTCCCTGAAGAGGCACCACCTGACCTGACAACATCACTCTCGCTGCCCTGCTGAGCGTTGAATGCATGACTGTGTGAAAAGTTAAAACCAAAGTTTGACAATGAAAATAAAAGTACAGGAAACATGAGGATGAGGGTTAAGCAGCGGGACACTGGCAGGCATGAGGGCCCCCTAATTGATATTTGCCAAGGGCCCCAACAGATTCTATAATCGCTACTGGGCCTGCCGTGAATTTTTGCCCAACAACAAACTAAGTGACACCAGACACAGGCTTCAGAAAACGTGAATTTTGTCTCCGAAAAAATATGTGAAAATAAGAAGTTATGATAAGTATAATCTAGATAGGAAGATTGTATTTTTTATGTGTGTAATATATGAAAATGTAAATATAGGCTATTTAATATACAGTCTACAGTGCACACACATAGCCTTCATGCCCCCCTTAAATGTTGCAGATGCCAACCTCTACTAGTGTAAACATGCAAGTGATTAACTTGTTTGTCAGACTTCAGTGTGTGGTGGGAGGAAAGAAAAACTTTGGCAGCACAGCATGTTGCGTTCACTGTTTCTGGTTTCTACATTTAAACACACAAAACACGAACCATGCTGATTGTACAGTCAAAACATAAAGATCCAGTAAGTGAACGGGGTTTGATACTGGATATGTACTGGGGAATAAGTCGCTTTCTTTAAGCTTTCGGAAGGATTTGATGACGTGTGTGAGGGAAAAATGACCCCGCTCGCTCCCCTCACATGCCCACACACTGTATGTATGACCCAGACATGACTGTGTTTGCTGCAGGCAGGCTGGACTCATGTTTCTACCATCGCTGCATTGGTTGACATTAAAAAAAAAAAAAAAAATGGTACGTCCCCCTTTTCTGAAATGCAACATCAGAAAAAAAAAAAAAAATCAAAAATGGACCCGATAACTTTAACAGCGGGGTAGGAAGAGAGAGAAAAAAGCAAGTCTGGCAGCGGTCGATATTAAAAACATGCAGAGGGAGACAAGCTCGGGGCCTTCCAGAGTCAGGAAAAAGACTTCGGAGAGCTGCGGACAGGAGATGGGTATGGCATTTCTATTCTCCCTCTGCCCATTGATTTGTATATGAAAACATAGCGCTTTTTATTCTCCCCCCTTCTGGGCTCTCCGCTTCTGAGTGATCAGCTGATGAAGAGACTAGCAGCTCGCCGCTATGCTGGCTTGCTAATTCTCTCCCCCACAGCTGCAGCCGATCCTGATAACCAGCCTGCAGATTGCACTCAGGTAAATATCCTCCTCCATGTCCTCTTTTTTTTTTTTTCAGGATTCAGCCAGGGCTACATCGCATGGGAAAGAGAGGAAGAGATGGATAAAATGTGTGTGTGTGTGTGTGTGTGTGTGTGTGTGTGCGCGCTCTGGGAAGAGAGTGTCTGTGAGTTTATATGTGTGTGTGTGTGTGTGAGCAGAGAGAGGGGGGGGGGAGAGGAAGAGGGAGTGTGTAGGTGTGTGTTGTAACAGATGAGAGGGAATCTTTGCCAGATTAGTCAGGGGGGGAAGAGGCAGGCTTGTTAAGGAGAGAAAAAAGGAACAGGCATGGAGCATCACATGCACACGCTGACAGCAGCCTCCCCTCTCTCTCACACACATTCATGCACAGACAGTTCGGACAAGCCTCACAGCTGCGGTTTTTTTGGGTTTTTTTACATCTTTGAGGATTACCCTCTATATATCCCTCCAGTTATTCCTCTGGAGCCATTTGCAGCCCCCCCTTTAGAGAGAGAGAGAGAGAGTGCAGCGGGGCTTTCAAAGCTCACATTTTGAGCCGAGTGATGAAGAGCAGCATTCCTATTGTTGCCTCCTCTCTGTTAAATAATCTGCCATGTCTTTTGGTTTTGCAGCTACAGCAATGCCTTCTATTTGTGTGTGTGTGTGTGTCTGTTTGTGTGTGTGTGTGTGTGTGTGTGTGTGTGTGTGTGTGTGTGTGTGAGTGTCACAGTCACCTTCATTCTTATTTGCATTATTATTGTTTTTCAGTTATGTTGAGGCACGTTCCCTTCACAAATGTGTGCAAAACATTACATTTTTTCCGCATGCATTCATCTCTGTCCTTGAGAAACACTTTTTCTTTTTTGTTCTACAAGCGCATGCTCAATTTATTAGATGATTTGAATGCTGCTGTGTGTGTACTGTATGAGCCTGTGTGATTGATGCATCAATATTCTGCTCGGATTGGACAGCCTGCCTTTTTCTGTTTCCTCCCTCCCTCCCTCCTCTCTCCAGACGGGGATGCTGCTGCTGCTGCTGCTAGAGCTGCTCTTGCTGCATGCATACTCATGTTTCTGGCCTCTAATTGCCTTTGTGGAGAACACAGCGGTTTGCAGCAAGACAACAGTTAGAAAAATGAAGCAATGAAATGGTCGAAAAATAACGCAGGATGCATCAAAGTGCGGATGTCGAGCAATCAGATGCGTCAGATTATGTTTCCGTCTCGTTTTTTTCTTTTTTGTGAGGAGCCAGTGAAATACAGGGTTAATATTTAATGCATTATTAGCGTTATAAGACGTGGCTTCTCCTCTTATATTCACATCTCAATCTGATCCTTTGATTATCATCCAACATCTAAGCCTCCAGATCAAATAATCTGTCCTATTTTGCAGAGGCAGCACAGGCAGTGGGGGTCGCTCCGTTCATGCAAATTATGATGATGATATCATGACCCGTCTTTTATTTGAATCATACTTCTAAATTCTGAATGCTCCAGAAATTCTAAATACCGCTACTGAGTGGCTTTATTAGAGGGTTTTAGACGTGAAGCGTGCTGTCTGGAGTGCTTTAGGTTTCAGTCTTTGCAGGAAAATGAATGTTAAAATTCAGCATGAAGCCGTTTTTAAGCCTCCAAAGTGACAAAAGAAGTTTAAACTAAATGCTCAAATGAAGGAGAAAAGATCAAATCTGTAACAATTTGTCTTTCAACACATTTCTCAGCTCTTATGATCCTTGCCTTGAAATTTTGATTTATTACCTGAACAACAAAAACAGAGAGTAGGCGAGCTTTATGTTCACACTACTTACTCGACCTCTCATTTCCTCAGTTCCTCAGTTCCTCACACTTTTTTGTTTTGCTTGTCCCCTACCTGCAGCCCGAGTCCCGAGAGAACGGTTCCCTGGAGGAGATGGAAGAGGACATCGGTCTGAAAAAGCGTAAAAGCGATCAGCCCGGGGAGAAAGAGCTGCGGGGCACGCAGGAGACGGGTGAAAAGGTGAAGAGGAAGCGAGGACGCCCGCCGGCTGAGAAGCTGCCTCCAAATCCACCTGAGCTCACCAGAACGCTGAGCACGCTGGTCGATATGGTCATCAACTACAAGGACGGGTAAGGGCTCAATCACTTGTTCTCTGTGCTCATGCAACAACAGGAAGTGCAAATGTTTCCTCTCACTGTTCCTCCTGTACTCTGATAATCTGGTTCACGCAGCGCTGCAGGAGCTGTCAATCAAAAAAAGGAACAGACATGAATCCTCGACTCTAAAAGACAGATTGTGTGTTTTGATCTTCATGGCCGCTCTTGGGCTTTCCATGAATGTCAAATCATTTTTTTCTGAAGCAGTGTTAACATGATGCTGAGTGATCCACCTGACCTGTGTTTCCAGCGTGGGTCGACAGATCAGTAAGGGCTTTGTGCAGCTTCCCTCCAAGAAGGAGGTACCCGAGTACTACGAGCTGATCCGGAAACCTGTGGACTTCAGGAGGATCAGGGTAACATGTCGCTGAACACACACTCACACACTCACACACTCACACACTCACACACTCACACACTCTCACACACTCACACACTCACACACTCACACACTCACACACTCACACACTCACACACTCACACACTCACACACTCACACACTCACACACTCACACACTCACACACGCACACACTCACACACTCACACACACTCACACACACACACTCACACACTCACACACTCACACACTCACACACTCACACACTCACACACTCACACACTCACACACTCACAAACTCACACACTCACACACACTCACACACTCACACTCACACACTCACACACTCACACACTCACACACACTCACAAACTCACACACTCACACACACTCACACTCACACACTCACACACTCACACACTCACACACACTCACACACTCACACACACTCACACACTCACAAACTCACACACTCACACACTCACACACTCACTCACACTCACACACACTCACACACACTCACACACTCACACACTCACACACTCACACACTCACACACTCACAAACTCACTCTCACACACTCACACACTCACAAACTCACACTCACACACTCACACACTCACACACTCACACACTCACAAACGCACACACTCACACTCACACACTCACACACTCACACACTCACACACTCACACACACTCACACACACTCACACACTCACACACACTCACAAACTCACACACTCACACACTCACACACTCACAAACTCACACACTCACACTCACACACTCACAACTCACACACTCACACACTCACACACTCACACACTCACACACTCACACACTCACACTCACAAACTCACACACTCACACACTCACACACTCACACTCACACACTCACACACTCACACACACACACACTCACACTCACAAACTCACACACTCACACACACACACACTCACACTCACAAACTCACACACTCACACACTCACACACTCACACTCACACACTCACACACTCACACACTCACACACTCACACTCACACACTCACACACTCACACACACTCACACACTCACACACTCACACACTCACACACACTCACACACTCACACACTCACACACTCACACTCACACACTCACACACTCACACACTCACACACTCACACTCACACACTCACACACTCACACACTCACACTCACACACACTCACACACTCACACACTGTATCAGCCGCTGGTTGTGATGCTTGTCAGGGGCGTCCCCGGTCCCTGGGCCCCTCCCCCACTGCCTCAGATAACCCTGAGATCCCTATAACCTCTCCTAAATGACACAAATGACCTTTTTGAATGCTTTAAATTGTTACTATTTTCACTTTTTAGAATTCCTTTAAAATAATTGGATGTATTTTACAGTTCTTTTAAAATGGATTTTATATCTTAGTGATTTTTATTCCTTAATCTTGCCTTGTTTATTATTCTATGACCTGCCTGTTTTTTTTATATTTGCTGTCCTTGTAAAGCACTTTGTAACTTGTTTTTAAAAAGTGCTCTATAAATAAAGATTATTATTATTATTGTTATTTATTATAAATTAAGGTTGACGAAATGCTTTTCCTGCCAGACGGTGGCTGTAGTACACCTGAGTGGGTTTTGCTCTCCATCATTAAATAACAAAAGAACAACTGTAACACTGTAGAGATGCTAAGAAGCTAAACGTAGCATCTCTTAACTAAAGGAATAATCTGTCTTACTTCACCCTTTGTGAGTAAAAAGCGATTAAACTTTCCTCAAAATGTTGAACTCTCTTTGAGACAGAAGACTCTGTAATCATGTCTAGGGTCATCTACTTTTTATTTTTCCTTTTTCTTTCATTACTCGCCGTGGTCACACTTTGAGGTTTTTCATACTAACCCTGTGCTTCACAGGAACGTGTTCGCAATCACAAGTACAGAAGTGTGGGCGATCTGGAGAAGGATATTTTCCTCCTTTGTCACAACGCGCAGACCTACAACCTGGAGGGATCTCAGGTGAACCCTGACGAGTTCTTTCATTGGACGGCAACAAAAGTGCTTTTCAGTTTTCATTCTGTTTGAATTTTATTTGATGTATTTGGACTCAAAGCTTGTGTGTGTGTGTGTGTGTGTGTGTGTGTGTGTGTGTGTGTGTGTGTGTGTGTGTGTGTGTGTGTGTGTGTGTGTGTGTGTGTGTGTGTGTGTGTGTGTGTGTGTGTGTGTGTGTGTGTGTGTGTGTGTGTGTGTGTGTGTGTGTGTGTGTGTCGTCTGCAGATCTATGAGGATTCAATCGTCATTAAGTCTGTGTTTGAGAGCGCGAGGCAGAGAATCGTCACCGACGAGGGACAGAAAGGAAATGTCAGCGGCGGTCACAGCGATAACGGCGCCGGAGCTGAAGACCAATTTCTTTCGTCAGCAGGTGAGTTTTGAAACAGAAACATTGGGGATTACATTTAAGCACAACAAAATGAGGACAAACAATTACTGTTAAAACAATAAATTGGCATCTCAATTTAAACCTTTAATGTGACGAATTCAATTATACAGATGATTATAGAGTTTATTTCCGGTTATACCTATACTGCTTTATTTCATGAATATCCTCAAACTGTTACAGCTTTTATTTGGTTAGAAAGCTTTAATGGCATTGTTTTATCCATCTTAATTGTTTTATCTCTTTTTATTGCCTTTTATTTATCCTGATTGTTTTCACCACATTTGTATTGCTTACTTTCTTTTATCTCTTTTCATTGCTGTTTCACTGCCTCTCTGATGATTTTTTTTGTTAAAGGTCAGATATTATGTTGAATACACTTCACCAAGTTTTTTAGAACTCTAATATATGTCTCTAGTCCGTCTTCAAACCCCCCAATGATGAGAAAAGTCTGCCTGCTCCACTTTTCAGAAAATGTGTGCAGAAAATTGTTTTTTGCTTCTTTTGCTTGTTTTCAGGCACTTTGTAAACCCTTGTTTTTTTTAAGTTTCTCATACCTAAAATCATTAATTTTTAAATAAATATTAATGTTACAATTGATCCTTTTTTTTCCTCTTGAAACCAGTGAAACCATTACCACCAGTCCAGCAGAAGAAGGACGATCAGGAGGAGAGTAGCAGAAACGTCACAGAGAAAAGGCCCCAGCGTCATTTAGACAGCGACGACGATCTAGAGGATAAAACCACTAAAGATGAAGGTTGAACTGAGAGGCTTTCTGTGTTTTTGTTTTTGTTTTTGTACTCCGGTTCATATCTGTTCTCTTCCTCTTCCATTTCAACAGCTCCGTCATTTTCTAAGATAAAGAAGGGTCATTGAAAAAGAAAATACACAAAACCCCTCAAAGAAAGGTCCAAAATGGATCCATTTTTATAGATGACTCACGCCACTCCAACATGTCTTGCTGCATATTGTGGACTTTTTACCTGCCTTAGTCCCTGTGGTCGCTTCTGCAAATATTCTGTCAAATCCCTGGTTTCACTCACTGACTGTTTTTAATCCATACATTTGATTGTATAAAATGCCTTCATTCGTCTTGGAGCATGTATATTTCTCTTGGAGCTGATGATGACGTTGATGAGTCAGGGGCTGGAGATTTGAAGCACACAAGAAAGTCTTTTTTTTTTGAAGAAAATAACAAGAAATGAAGACTAAAAAAAAATCTGTAGTTTCATTTAAGAGATGATACGTCTTTGATAAAAGTTGAAGTACGCAGTCAAAGACTTGTTTTAGTACCAACAGCAGTACTTTTGCCTGTTTTTGATACTTGATGGAGTAAGTTTGGGTCTGATTAAGGGTACTCCAGTTGAACATTTTTATCCCTTGTGCTACAGTATATTCACATATTGTACAGTTTGTGTGAAAAGTAAGTAAAAAAAAGTCTTTTCATTTACTCTCCTGGTTGTTTTGGGAGGTTGGAAGACATCGTTGTTGAGACAATCCCTTGAAACATGTATTACTTAAACACCTGGGAAATAAATTTTACCCAAAGGTTGCACTGCTTTGTTATTTTAAAAAAAATATTTATTGAAGTAGTAGCTGTTGTAGACGTATTTAAAGGTCACATATTTTGCAAAACACACTTTACCATGTTTCTCTAACACTAATATGTGTCTCTAGTCTGTGTACAAACCCCTCAATCGTGAGAAAAGTCCATCCTCTCCGTCATCTGCCTGGCATGCCTAGGGCATGGTGTAAGAAACCTTGAGCCACCTAAAAAGAGGGGTGCGTGGTCAGACACAGCTCATTTGCATTTAAAGGTACAGACACAGAAACAGCCTGTTCTGAGCAGGGCTGAAATAGAGGGGTTTATAGGTATGATCAAATACAGTGAATATATAACAAGAAACTTCACAGACATTCATTCAAACTGGTTGAACAGGAGGATAATATGTGACCTTTAAAAGTCAGAAAATGTCATATCGATTTTGCAAGAATAGAGAAAGGCCCTCATCTGAGGATATATAGAGATATTTCCAGGCAGGTCTTTTTTTTTAATACGGCAATCAATGGATCACATGCAGCAACTTAACCTTTTTACTAAGCAGGAGATACCATCAGAGTCTGTGTTATTCCCTTTAAAGTGTGAGTACTGTATGTTCTATGTATTTTTGACAAAATGCCAATAGGTGGTGCAAGAGGGCTGTTTGGTGTTTTCTGTTTCTAGTTGCCAAAAAAGATGCCAAAGTACAAAGTCACTCCTAGTGACATAAATCTAACAAGATTCTTAAGATCAGTTTTTAAGAATTTCCCCTTAAAGTTAAGACTAGATCCTTGTGAAGACAAAAGTTATTCACAAAGCATCTTCGCCTTTAAGAGTGCTCTTAAAGTGACAAACTGTCAGGAGAATTGAGGACTATAGAGAGGATGAAGAGTTTCTCAAGCTGAGGAGAAAATTGAGTAATGTTCACTAAACACTGAATGAGTAATAATAGAATCATAGTTGGGCTGTTGAGATAAATCCATCTTGGACTTTTTTCAATGCAAAGTGAGACATGTATGTTGAGACCCTCTCAATATGGTTTATAATATGCTGATGTCACTATCAGCTTAAGAAGAAACTACTTTGGCAAGTGGGAAACAATTTGTAGGCTATATTCTTAACGAGACACAGGTGAGCTAAATCAGGACAGGGAAGCTCAAGGCAGGAAAACACAAGGAGCAGGATCTGAAAGACAGAAGCACGGATACAAATGAATACAGCAAATGACAATATTACTAATATAAAAGGACAGAAACAAAAGATGACACTAGGTAACTTGACGGGTTGTGTTAATAAGTACAACTATTCAGCTTACTGGAGGAGTAAAGATTCCCATTGCATAAGCCATAGCAGCAGGCCTTCCCTACCAACAATCCAGAGGAACCTACGAGACAAATGAGCTCAGGTGCACCCAAGAAAATATGTGGTTAGTAACTTACTGTACATAGTACATGACGATTTAAAGATAATGACATGCAGTAATATGATGTGAAGGAAGAGAGAGGAGAGAGAGAGATAGGAGCTCAAGGTGCTAGTTCCACCGGCAGTCTAAGCCTATAGCAGCTTAACTAGGAGCTGATCCATACCTGCGCCAGTCCTAACTATAAGATTTATCAGAAAGGAATGTTAGAAGTCTATTCTTAAAAGTACAGTGTGTCTGCCTCCAGGGCCATGGCTGGTAGATGATTCCAAAGGAGAGGGACTCTACCTGGAATAATACATTTTCAATCAGGAGAGACTTAATTGAGAATGAACAATTATTTATTTACAATATGTGTGCAACAATTTAATTTTGAATGTGCAAAGTCTTTGGGGGATTAGACTCCATCGTGACGACTTCCCACTCGGAAGGTAATGAAGCCGACAGCAGGCTCGGAGACCCCCCTATGGAGTCTAGACACTGGTGGTGGTGAAGAGGAATGGAGGCTATGATGAGCCTGAATCTGGACTCTGCTGAGCTGGAATGGAGGTGACTGGGGCGGTGGTGGGTTGCAGCGGTTGCCCTGAAATGATAGGATGGCTGTGGAAGAGAGAGAACTGTTTTAACATTTTGCCGCAGCAGGATGATTGGTTGAGAGAGGTTGTGCCCGAATCTGTTTGGTTAATTACTTAATAAACGCCCATTATCAGCTGATCACCAGAGAAGGGAGACAGAGGAAGTAGTAGGGGGAGTGGTTTAGGTTGAATTAATGAGTGGAAGAATATAACCAGTCTTCCTGTCTGAACTTACGCTGAGCTCCATTAGAGACTGTAGGTACCACGAGCAGGCCTGGTAACTGAAGGCTCTACCTCCCACAGTACATTTAGAGACTGTAGGTACCACGAGCAGGCCTGGTAACTGAAGGCTCTACCTCCCACAGTACATTTAGAGACTGTAGGTACCACGAGCAGGCCTGATAACTGAAGGCTCTACCTCCCACAGTACATTTAGAGACTGTTGGTACCACGAGCAGGCCTGGTAACTGAAGGCTCTACCTCCCACAGTACATTTAGAGACTGTTGGTACCACGAGCAGGCCTGGTAACTGAAGGCTCTACCTCCCACAGTACATTTAGAGACTGTAGGTACCACGAGCAGGCCTGATAACTGAAGGCTCTACCTCCCACAGTACATTTAGAGACTGTTGGTACCACGAGCAGGCCTGGTAACTGAAGGCTCTGCCTCCCACAGTACATTTAGAGACTGTTGGTACCACGAGCAGGCCTGATAACTGAAGGCTCTACCTCCCATAGTACATTTAGAGACTGTACCACGAGCAGGCCTGATAACTGAAGGCTCTACCTCCCATAGTACATTTAGAGACTGTACCACGAGCAGGCCTGATAACTGAAGGCTCTACCTCCCATAGTACATTTAGAGACTGTAAGTACCACGAACAGGCCTGATAACTGAAGGCTCTACCTCCCACAGTACATTTAGAGACTGTAAGTACCACGAACAGGCCTGCATTCTGTGGGAGCCTTATGTTCTCGAAGACTAATATTGCACTATAAGCTCTTTAAGAGGGTGCCTTGCCATTAAGATCTTTGTAATTGAGTAGAAGGATTTTAGTTCTCTACCTCCCACAGTACATTTAGAGACTGTAAGTACCACGAACAGGCCTGCATTCTGTGGAAAACACAGCCAAATTTGCCCAAATATCCAATAAACAAGAGTCTTTGTCGCCCCCCTGAAATGATATGTAATTATTAATTGAACATTATGTCCCAAATCCCAAATCAATCTCCAGAAAGCCCCATGAGGATTTACCCAGCATGCCTCACTGTTCCACATTTATTATAAAGTGTCTATAAACCTTTTCAGTAAATCACATTTGACATCCCATATTCCCCCCTGGTAGAATACGATAATGAATAAATAAATCAATTACCAGATAGGCTCCTTAACATTTAATAAAGTGTATCTGAGGTATAGGAAAAAAAGCTCTGCACAGGTGTTGAGAGATTAACAATGGGTTTAGTGTTGGGAAGCTAAAAGGTATGGGCTTTTACAGTAAATAGCACTGGGAAACAAAGAGGCACGCACGTCTTCTTGATGGAAATCTCCCATAAAATGACACATAGAGCTAATGGAAGAGCACAGACGGAGATATTGCTGAAGGTAGACACACTAATGGCTTTTGAAGATTAGTGGGCGCAGGCGGTGACTTCATTCAATTTTTTCTGTTTTCCCAAAGGACACAGACTTAATAGATAATTAGTTTGCTCTGCATTTATCATGGCCATCAATAACCAACTGTAAAATCACTTTACTGATAGTCCTGGTAGGAAAGCATCAACAACTACATTTATTTTTGACTAAATGCTTCGCTTCCCAGAGTTGGCTTATATTGAATTTACCATCATTCATGTGACATTTTATATTTATTATGTGTTTTTTCCCAACCCCTTAAGACGGTTAAATCTATTTTTGTAACAATAAGCAAGGTGTTGTTCATATTTTTCTTGGCCAAGTGAGTCCTATGGAATGACAGAACTGTCATAGAAAAGTAAGAACTAAAATAAAATCTCAAAAACTTAAGTAGAAGAAGAGGTTCATTACAATTTTGAAATAAAGTAGCTAATTTTGTAGGATAGGGAAAAAAAACTGATATTATTTGCAAATTAATAAATTAAAGGAGCAATATGTAACTCTGCACCTAGTGTTTAATATTGGTACTGCAGTCCAAATTCAACAAATTGGAGAGAGCTGCCCCCCACCCTCTCTTCCATAGAGTGGATGCTCACGCAGGTCACCATGTGGTGGACTCTGAAGCTTCAGTGTTTATCCAGCTCTGCATGGGTCTGTAAACCTTTCTGTGTTCTAACCTCTCTCCATTTTTCAAAAGCATCTCCAATATTGATCCTAGTTTGAGCACGTTTCTGCTCGTGGAGCTTATTAGAAACATGCAGAGGCTTTTTAGGTCGGGTACAATCATTTCTATCTGAACCACTTCTCTTGACCACTTCCAATTTTGAAATTGTATTTGGAGCAGCCCCAGCCAGGCAGGACTAGTCAAGTAGTCTTTGTTTAGTTCAGGGATTGTTCCCGCAAGAGATTCTAAAGGGCATTTTTCTCACGCATCACATATTATGGACCAAACTTGAGGTAATTATGCAACAATGTCAGAAATTGGTCCATGATTCAGAACAGAGCAAACATCAAAGTTGTGAAAACATCCTTAATCTTGAGATCAATACTTTGTGTGATTGAATGTATTAACAATACCAAAAGAAATGAGTGGAGAAGAACATACTAGCAAGCAAAAAGGAGTCGGGAGCAGCCTAATGCTTGCAGTTGGGCACCAGTTGCAGGACACGCAGAAGCACTTCAGCCGGTACCTTACCTCATTCTACAAACTCAGAACGATACACTGACACACTCAATAGAGTTTAAATGAGCTAAGCTAACCTAGCTCCATCAATGGACAACAGGGATAACAAATGTCGCAAAACACAGCACAAGCTGTTAGGAGAGGTAAGGGCGTGTTCACACTTAACCTGTTTGGTTCGGCTGAAACAGGTTTCCCACTC